AAGCTACAGATTTCTGTGTGTTAATTTTGTATCCTGAAACTTTGCTGTATTCCAATATTCTAGTAGTTTTGGAGTGGAGTCTTTAGGGTTTTTTATGTACAATATCATGTCATCTGCAAATAGTGACAGTTTGACTTCTTCTTTACCAATCTGGATTCCTTGTATTTCTTTGTTTTGTCTAATTGCCATGGCTAGGATCTCCATTACTATGTTGAATAACAGTGGGGAGAGTGGGCATCCCTGTCTGGTTCCTGATCTCAGAGGAAATGCTTTCAGCTTCTTGCTGTTCAGTATGATGTTGGCTGTGGGTTTTTCATATATGGCCTTTATTATGTTGAGATACTTGCCCTCTGTACCCATTTTGTTGAGAGTTTTTATCATGAATGGATGTTGAATTTTGTCGAATGCTTTTTCAGCATCTATGGAGATGATCATGTGGTTTTTGTCCTGCTTTTTGTTGATGTGATAGATGATGTTGATGGATTTTCGAATGTTGTACCATTCTTGCATCCCTGGGATGAATCCCACTTGGTCATGGTGTATGATCCTCTTGATATATTTTTGAATTTGGTTCACTAATATTTTGTTGAGTATTTTTACATCTATGTTCATCCGTGATATTGGTCTGTAGTTCTCTTCTTTGCTGGTGTCTTTGCCTGGTTTTGGTATTAGGGTGATGTTGGCCTCATAGAATGTGTTTGGGAGTATTCTCTCCTCTTCTAATTTTTGGAAAACTTTAAAGAGAATGGGTATTATGTCTTCTCTGTATGTCTGATAAAATTCCAGGGTAAATCCATCTGGCCCGGGGGTTTTGCTCTTGGTTAGTTTTTGATTACCGCTTCAATTTTGTTGCTGGTAATTGGTCTGTTTAGATTTTCTGTTTCTTCCTTGGTCAGTCTTGGAAGGTTGTGTTTTTCTAGGAAGTAGTCCAAATCTTCTAGGTTTCCCAGCTTGTTTGCATATAGGTTTTCATAGTATTCTCTAACAATTCTTTGTATTTCTGTGGGGTCTGTCGTGATTTTTCCTGTCTCATTTCTGATTCTGTTGATGTGTGTTGATTCTTTTTCTCTTAATAAGTGTGGCTAGAGGCTTATCTATTTTGTTTATTTTCTCAAAGAACCAGCTCTTGGTGTCATTGATTTATTCTATTGTTTTATTCTTCTCAATTTTATTTATTTCTTCTCTGATCTTTATTATGTCCCTATTTATATTTTTTTAAACATTGAATCATTCTAAAGTTTCTGGAGTAAATCCTGTTTGGTCATAAAGTATTATTATTCTTTTAATTAAAAAAAATTTAATTTTTAAAGCAGTTCTGGGTTCACAGCAAAATTTAGTAGAAAGTACAGATTTCCCATACACTCCTGTCCCCACACATGAGCAACCTCCTCCACTATCAACAGCCCATACCAGACTGGTAAAGTATTATTTAAAAAAATATATTCATTGATGGATTCAATTTGCTGAATTAAAAATCACTGTTTCTAAGTGAAACTAAAGTTGCATGTGTGTTTGCAGATGTGCACACATACCTTCTTTGCCTGATGTTGGTATCACAAAAACCCTATCTACGTAAAATGAGCTGGGAAGTTTTCTATCCTTTTCTGTTGATTTATAACAATTAAAATAACACAATGTTTAATTTTAATGTATTCCTTGAAAGTTTGGTAGAATTAATACATAACACCACCGAGCATGAGGCATTCACTGAGAACAGATCTCCACCTTTTCAATGTTTCTGAGGCTTCTGGTTTTAAGTTTTCAACTTTTGATGACAATTTTGATTATCTTTTGCTTTCATATCCAGATGTTGTTCCTTTGACCTTATCTAATTTTTTATGTCTTTTGATTCTCCCTTCTTGACTTATTAAGTTTGTGACTATTTTACACTGTTCTTTTAAATAATTAGATTTTGCTTTTCTGGCCAAGTCTACAGTCTCTTAGTGTTATTTTTACTATTTCATTAATATATGCTTTAATGAATATTTTCTTCTACTTTCTTTAGGTGCTTAAATTTTTTTTCCCTATCTCTGAGTGGAATACTTAAGTCAAGAAAAGATAAAAATACAATGTTTTTCAAACAAATGCATTTAAAACTACACATTTTCCTTAAGAAATACTTTGTTCACATTCCAAAGGCTTTGGATTATTCTGTGCTTATTATCATGTTCTATATAGCCTGTAAGCTCATTTTTAATGCCCTTTAAAGGTATTTTTCTAAATAATTCTTCAGTTAAATTTCTAAATGTTCTGAAATGGGGTGGGAGGAAACAGCTCTCAACTTTCAAGGTTGATTTCCAATTTTATTGTACTATAATCAGCAGACGTGGCCTATGTCTCTTCTCTTTCAGGTGCTCCAGATTTTCTGTGGCTGGTGATCAGTATTTATTAACACTCCAGAGGTATCTAAAAACTGTGTTCTTGAATACTAGGTAAAACAGTCTCTATATAAAACAAATATGTTATTCAAATCCTTACAATTTTTCTAAGCTTGACTTTTGAGATTTCTGGGCAATGCAATGAGTTTGGTGAAAAGCCTTTCAATAAATTCTTTTTCTATTTAAACTGGCTAAGTCAGTTTATTTTGCTTGTTATCTAAAAAAGCTGACTAGTACATCCCTATCTTGAGCACTTGGCTGTAGTACTTCCCCCAATACTTTTGTCAGGAGGGATACAGGTAATTGCATTGTGTCTTCACAATATGCACAATGAATGATGTTTTGGAATATAATTCTTTTTTTCTCCCTCCATCATTTGCATATCTTGTGCTCCTATCTCTACATTTCTATAGCAGATAAGAAAGTTATTATTCTGATTCTCTTTCTTTTCTAAGTAACCTGTTATATTGATTATCTATTGCTGTAGTACAAACAACCCTAAAACTAAGTAGCTCAACATTTAAAAAATGTATTATTTTTTGCAATTCTATAGGTTAAGTGGGTGGTTCTTTTGGTCTGGGCTGGTTTAGCTAATTTCAGCAGTTAGCTGGTTGCTTAGTTGGGAACTGGATGGTCTAGACTGGCCTCATTCACATATCTGGTGATAAGCAGGCTTTCTGGTGTAGGGGTTGTTGGCTGAGATCATCTCTTCCACAAATGGTCTCTAGTCTTTTCATGATGGCAGAAGAGTTCCTAGCAGCAAAGGGAGGCAAGCCACAAAGCAAAGCATTTTCTTAAGCCTCTGCTCCCTTCACATTTATTAATATCCCATGGGCTAAAAAGCAAGTCATGTGGCCATGCCCAAATTACAAAGAGGGGAAAACAAACTTTATTTCTTGATGGGTGAAGCTACAAAGTCACACTGAAAAGGGGTATACATATAGAGATGAAAAGAATTTGTGGCCAGTTTTTGGTAACCTACAATACCTCTTTCTCTCTAAATGCTTATAAATTCTTTTTTATATTGATTTTTAAAATTATGGCAAAATACATGCAACATAAAATTTAGTGTTAGTGACATTTTAGTACATTCACAATGTTATGTCACCATCACCACTATCTAGTTCCAGAAAATTTTTATTACCCCAAATATAAGTTCTTTCTTGATTTTTAGAGGCAAAAAATATCACTAGGATATATATCTAGGAGCGGAATATCTTAGGTCATTGAGCAGGTCCAGTACTTGGTATGAAAGTTAGTTTTTTTAAGCTCAAATAAGTTTTCTTCTACTATTTGATTTCCTCTGTTTCTTCCAGAATTCCTACTTCATATTAGTGTCCCTGTACCTTCTTTCCGTGTCTTTTATCTTTTCACTAATGATTTCCACTTCTTTGTACTTTTGTATCATAAAACAGTTTTCTCTGTTAGATCTTCTTTAATTTGATAGTTAGGAATGTCTACTCTGTTTTTCAATTCAATTGAATTTCGTGGAAAATAACGGTTTTCTTCCCTCCTACAAACACATCCTTTCTATTTTAAGTTCTCTTCCACTTCCTACATTAGATTTGCCTATAGGAGTCATTCACTTTGGCTTACACTTGCTTTTCTGAACCTCAAACCACTGGGTTTCCTTTAACTTAATATGATCTTTGCTCAATTCCATCAGCTGTAACGGGCTCCTTTAACACTTGCAGAAGTCACATTGTTGGGATCCTCTGAGCAGCAGAGCATTGACCAGTGGTGAAAACTAAAACAGGAGTTCTCCAATCAACTTTTAGGGAAAGCCAAGCTCAGAGCTAAACAGAAAGCAGGCTAAAGAAGTTCTCCTGGGTACTGAGTGGATGCACATGGCTCAACTTGCTAGGTCACTGCCTTTGCCCCAGGCTTAACAAGAGAATCAGATTCCCTTCTAGCTGCAAGGCTGTCTTTCCTACCAGCTTTGTAAACAGTGATGACAGAAGGCATCCAGAGGTAAAACTCCTAAAGGGTCTCCTCAGAAGCCCAAAGCCTGAGAAGTTGCTAGCAAAAAGTTATTCCAGGTTCTATACTGTTTTGTATCCACTCCCTACTTTAGCTGTTTTTCTTTCCAGTTGAATCACGCCAGTAGGAAATTTAAGAGTGCTAGGGAGTTAAACATCAGACTGAAGCCACCATCTTATAAAAACTTTTTAAAATTCCCCTTTTTATAATAAATTCTGTGAGAATATTTATTGATAAGAGGGGAAATAAACTTAAATTTCAGGAATATAAATCTTTGTATGTATGGAACCCTAAACTATGGCCCAGAGACAGAGGGATTCATCACAGTGTCTCTGTTAACACAGCTGGGATTAGAAGTTAGCATTTTAGTTCCTAACATGGGATCTTTTCACTATGTAGACCCACGGCTACCTTAACAAAAATTCCATCCGTGTATTCACTTGCATAGTTATTTCCCTTCCTGTTCCTTCTGGTCCAGTTCCTTTTCTGGATAAGATACAATCTCATTCCCATTCCCCTTGCCTGGCTTTTATCCCTCCCTAAAACTTATTCTGCCTCCTTTCTGGCTGCCTTCTAAGATCTCTTTGTCCATACTCACAAGGGGCGGGGGGTGGGGGCTGGCGTGTGTGTCCCAAATGGAGTAAGAAACTGTCTAGTAGGAGGGGAGCCTAGAACAGGGTGGACAAAGGAGGCTGGCAAACTTCTCATGCATCACCAGGAGTGCTTTGGCTTCTTGTCATCAGAACCCCTCATCTTCTGCCATGGGTCAACCAACAATCTTAGCACTGGCCTAGATTCCCAGGTCTCTCTCCACTGGTCCTCCTCCCCTCTGAATCACACAGCAAAGGTAAGAAAAATATAACTACAAAGGCCTAGATGTTCACTCATGAGCCAGCTGGGATTATCTCATAGTGGAAAGTATACCCTACCATGCTCTGGAAAACTGATCAACTCCTCTACTTCTCCTGACATCAAATACAAAATGCTTTATTAATGGCTTTAAAATGGAGTGTTACAGCAGTCCCTTAATTAGTATCTTAATTTACAGTGTAGGACATATAAGTCTTCTAGTATACAATGGTTAGCAGATCTGATAATATGCAGAAGCAGCATGATTTAGTTAAGTTATGAGTAAGATTATCTGAATTTCAACTCCTGCTCCTCTACATACTAGCTATGACAGGTTATATAACCTTATCCATGACAGACCATAGCAATCATAAGTGCTTTAACAAAGGTAAACTTCCTGTTTATGTAATCATATAACATACCACCAGATGGAATCCTTAACTCCTTGTCCTAAATATACAAAAATATACTCATAATTAAAGTTATTTTGTATTTTTGAAAATGTTGATACAATATTTAAAGGGCTTATTGCTGCCCAGATTAACATGTACCTCCCTAAGCTCCTCTTAAAACATATTACTAGAAAATACTCTAGTGGACAACATCTTTACAATTACATGAGAATACTTATAATTATGTTTTTCTTTAATAAAATACACATTAGAGGTTTTTTTTTCCAAATAGAAATTTGATTTCTTACCAAGACAGTTTGAAGCATCAACTTGTTCTTTCAAAAAATCAACACACATTTTCTTCACTGGTTCAATCTGGTACTGGTTTGCTGCATCTAACAAAGACTGAACATTGTTGCTATTCACAGAAATTCTGGAAAATATTAAACTGAATATTAATTTTCTAAAGATTTTTATTATTTCAAATAATGCTATTGTGAATTTATCCTATTAGCCCCAAAAATTAAACAAAAAAATTACACCTTTCAGTCCTTGAATTAGTATGGCATAGGAACTTTAAACCAGCCTAGGCTGAAGGATTTGGAGTACATCAAATTCTTATAACAATGCTTGCCACTATCCCAACTTTACTCCGCCTCAATGGATATGATCCTTCTTAACTTACCTAGCAGTATAAGCAAATTCCACAAGTTGCTCAATAATGTCAGGTTCAGCATCTTTGAGTTCAACTTCAAAAGACTTTGACTCAAGCATGTTAGCTAAAATGAAGGGAGGAAACATAAATGGCACACCATGGAAACATAAATGGCGTTTAACTGAGGATCCAGATCATTCTAGGCCATGCTGAATAGGACAGAGATGTCTTTGGAAGAAAACACCCCAAAAAGCCCAACATTCTTATAATAAATGCAAGTTAATTCTCCACACCTGAGAGGTTCCTTAAATTAATCTAAGAAATTAGAGTGTACTTCTTAAAAAAAAATAAAAAAAGGCCAATTGAACAGAGAGACACAAGACTAGATTTAGTATTTCCCCAACTCTAAAATAATTTAGTAGTACTCTTTTAAACTGCTATGAGCAAAATGCCTCTGATGTAGCTGGAACAAACCTACAAAACAATGATAATTACATATAAGTCAGCCACAGCTAGCAAAGCTCTCATTCCTCCCCAAAACCCTGCCTAGTAGCCAGAGCACCAAAGAGAAAACTTGAGGTAGACCCATTATATAACCCGATCAATCTCATAAAACAGTACTAAGTAGAGGAACCAGGTAGGACTTTGACTCTCGATCTCAACTTCAAATCTGGAGTTCTTTCTAATAAGATATGCCATATTTCATTTTTATTTAATTTGCTAGATGAAATGCTGTAAGATTTATCTTCTTGCCTTTCCCACCTGAGGTTAAGAAGAAAACCTCAGGCATTCAAGTAGAAGCTGTATCTTCATCAAAAAAGACCTTGGGCCTAGAGGACTACTGAAAGCACACTTTTCCTTTGATCAATCATCATCATGACCATTTTTCAATCTCTTTACTGTTCTGTGACATTAATTTCTTAAGTGCTTCAAAAGTAGGAAAAATATTTTCATTTAGACCCCATTTCGTTCTCATGGAAAAAACAATATGTTTTACCTTAAGATACTTACTTGTGAACATTAAGTTAAAAAAATGACTGGCTGCAGCAAGGACAACACGATGAGCAGGTATCTTTCTTTCCTGGACCGTAAGGATCACATCACATAACGTTTTCTAATCAAGAAATAAATGAAATTAAAAGGGGCTCATTGGGCCTAGCTTAGCAAACATATAAAACAGGTGCTTGCCAAATGTCTTATCTCTATTTTCTTTTTAAATCCAGTCTTTTTTCAGTGCAGAATTTGTTTCTCATATAAGACCTATTTAGGAAGGACTTACAGAGCTGCTGTCATGAGTTGCCTGTTATGAAAATTTGGCACTGAGCTTCCTGACAATCAGGAAAAAAAGAAAAGATCTTTATAATCAGTAAATAGTAGTCTTTCCTTCTTTAGGGAAGCCAAATTTTTTTGTGACACAAATTCTAAGGTATTTCTCATGATGAGATTTTATGGGAACGTTAAATGATATAATGGCAATGTCCTTGATGGTTTTTCAAGCATAACAATTTATTTTTAAAAATTATCTATCCTTGATAAGATACAGAGTACACACTGCATTTCCCAAGAAAGTAGCCTTCACAGACCTAAAATGAAACAGAAAGCATTCAGAATATAGAGTGGGTGAACCAAATGGCCCTTCAGCATTCCTTTAAATAACACTTCCCTCAGACACATTTCTGATAGGAGCTGGATAGCAGCCACTTTTAAATTGTGACTTCTGACCAAGACCAAAATGTTGTCATGGCAGTTTGCTGAACAAAGGCAGATCTAGATCAAATACTTGAAATGTTGGGAAAATGGAATATTAAAGAAAGAAGTTAAGGTTGGCTGGAATGAATTTGTAAGGGAAAAATGTTCTTTTTCTCAAATAAAATTTCAGTTCCTTAATGAAGTTAAAGATACAATGTACAAGTTAGGCTCAGAGAAAAATTAGAGCCTTTGGTAAGGACCTAATAAAAATTTTAATATTTTATTCAAACTAATATAGTTTCTGATAGATAAATTACTGTTATTTCCTACTTTATTATTCTATTAATAAAAATTAATAAAAAAAAATGCTTAGAATGAGAAAGGAAATGGACCCCAAATAGTGGGCTAAAAGGTGAACAAAATTTCACTTTTTTAGCTCATGTGAAGATTTTGTTTAAGTCTTACAGACTGGCGCTTAGAAATTGTACACAGATTACTTACAGTCAGAGCTATCATTACTCCAATAGCATCTTGAATTTTTTAATTTTTATTTCCTTTTTTGGGGGGAGTGGGTACAGAGTAGGCACAGCTCTCCGGAGATTCTGCCACACACCACACCAAAAAAGACCAGGTAGCAAAATCAAGTCAAATATTTGGTTACCACAAAAACAAGGTGATGAAGTTGCTTAAGAGAAAGAAAGAAAAAAAGAGGGAGAAGGGAAGGAAGAAAAGAAGGCAGGGAAGGAGAGAGAGAAAGAAAAAGAATACTGACAATAGCAAGTAAATCAGACTGGTGGGGGTAAACTATGGCTGCTGATGGGCAAGTTCCAGAAAATAGAGCTAAAATGAAATGTAGCAGAACACCTTTCCAAGGCATACTCAGCAGTAAGTTTTAGTGGAATAAATTTATAAGCAATGAAGGATGTTAGAGAAGTGAGAAAGATCTTCGTACAATTTAGCCTTAGTCTAAGGTTAATCTCCAGCTGAATATTAAGGTTGTATGGGCTGTGAAATGGGAGGAATCTTCCATATCCAAATGTACATCTATTTGTCTGTACTACAGTAGATTAATAGGTTTCAACAAGAGTTGGGACTAATCTAAAGAGAGAGGTTCCTCCTGCTATCGACCATCTGGGGACGAGGTGTATCCAAAGACAGGCAATGGGAAGAGACAGAGACTCGGATTAAATTGGAGAATATGAGAGGTAACAAGTCCTGGGTGAACTAAAGAGGAACTTAAACAAACAACAAAAAAACTACATTTTGAACAATGCAGTCACTGGATAAGATAAAAACCTTACAAATTTTCTGTTTATATCTCCCCATATTTATATCTTTGTATTTATTATTTCAGCTTTTGAACCTTTAGTCTTTTATAAATAGCAAAGACTTTGTGTGACTTAGTCTGAAGTTCTCACCATCTAAGATTATTTTTAGTAGGGTTTAGTTTAATCCTTCATATTTATTATAGATAACTGATGTTGCATCTTATATACACTGTCTTCTTTCATGCTATTTATTTATGCTTCCTTGCTGTCTTCATTTTCCTTTAACTACCAGTTGCTATTTTGGTTATATTTTCTTTGCACTTTTTTCTTTTGTTAGGGACTTACTTATAGATCGGTCAAATATTTGCAAAGTGAATCCAGCAGGGTACTTGTCAAATATGGTTCTACGAATGCAAGGAGGGTTCAAGAACAATAATCCTATTAATGTAATCCCTTGTATTGACAGGTTAAATGAGAAAAACTTCATGCAGAAAAACTCTGAAAGGGTGTTTGATAAAATTAAAGATTCATTTCCTGAGACTCTTTAATAAGGAAAATGATGTATCTGTGTACTGAAGCCACTCATAAGTATACTGAAGGTCATTTATCAGAAATCACTAGCAAACATCCCATTTAATGGTTAAACAGGAGAGGCATTCTCATTCAAGTTTGAAACAAGATATACATAATCTATCATGAATATTTTTCAACATTGCTCTGGAAATTTTAGCCAAATCAGTAAGAAAATAAAAATAAATTAACTGAACACTTGTAGAATTAAATGATAAGCCAGTAAGATGGCTAGGCACAAACAGGATAAATATGAAAAAGCAATTTGCTAACCTATATAAGAATAATAAGCCATAAAGAAACACAAATGAGAAACAAAAAGAAACAAGTCATAATAGCAATAAAATAATTAAATGTTGAGAAATAAACCTAAAAAATGTGAAGGACCTACATTAAGTGGGAATTTGGTATGTGCTTAAAGATACTATTGCAAAGAAGGTAGGGCACAGGGGATGTTTAGGACAGTGACATTATTTTGTATGATACCGTAACTGTGGATACACGTCATTACACAATGGCCAAATTTATAGAATGTACAACACAAAGAGTGAACCCTATGGGTAATAACAATGGGACAATACTGGCTAATCAATTTTAACAAACATACCACACTAATGCAAGATGTTAATAACAGGGGACTGTGTGTAGGGGGATAACTCTCTGTACTTTCTGCTCAGTTTTTCTAAAACCTAAAACTGCTCTAAAAAATAAAGTCTATCAGTTTAAAAAATATGGTAAGGGACTGATAACTGAAAAAATGATATTAGGACAACTGTTACCCATTTAGGGTAAACACTAGATTTCTCATAAGGTCCTTTTCTAAGTACTGGGAAGGAAGTTTCAGTCCTTTTCTCTACCCTTCACTTATGGAAGAGTGAATAGAGAATGGGCAAGAGTATGTAGAGGTCATGGGCCACATAGAGTCAGATCTCCTGGCTTATTCTTTTTCCACAGCTCTCCCCCAAAGCAGAATATAACTAATTGGGGCAGGCTTACCTGTGTGGCAGGAGAGGACTGTTTCCATCCATCAGCCACTGTCTCAGTCTGGGTAGGTAAAATAAGTTCAGGGGAGAAAGAAGCAGCCCAATTTTATCCTCAGGTCAAAGCCACATTCTCCACTCTGTTGTCACCACTAACTTACCTATCTTTGGTGTCTACTTCTCAACTGTTTTAGGACCAGCAATGGAAGAGGGCCCTTCAAATCCATATGCATAGGCACGCAAAGCACTGCATAGGGAGACAGAAACTTTGGTGCTTGCAAGTATGAAGGTCTTTTGCAGGAAGAGTCCTTTGGTTGGGAAAGACTCACCTCAAAATAGGCAAGCATTTTAGGCATGTGTTTGTGGAATGACCATTTATTTTCTTTATGTTTGCCAGGCAGTACTGCAAAAGGCAGCTACATTACATAAAGCTCCACAGCACTGTATGAGGTTCTACTTTTAACCATATTACTGGCATTAGTAGGAGGCATGCAATCAGCTGTTCCAAGTTCTATTTTTCATTATATCTCAAGGTGAGGACTGATGAATGACTAACCTTTGGATTTATGTAGCTTGTCAACAAGGTTCTGCAATCAGTCCCTCCCAGCGTGATTTCAAGTTGGCCCTGGGTATAAATCCCTGAGCAGACTGTAGATTCAACTACTGTTGGGTGGTGGATTTAAATCACTGAAAGATAAAGGGAAATGAAGCCCTTATTATATGATGGTAAATCATCATCTTGGATTGATACTAAAAAAGCCTCATGAAGGCCATAATAAACCCAAAGGCTGGGAGAAAATTTTAAAAGGCCTCTTTAGGAATCATGTTTGTTCAGAAAAGTAAGAAAAACAGCATTAGACTTAAGCACACATATAATCACAATAAGGCAAGTGGGAAAGTGAAAGAACAAAAGACGACACCTAGTTTAATAGAGGAAAAGGGGGATTTCCTTCCTTAAGGGAAACATATGACAAGTTAGGCCAAAAGCTTTGAAAGGGAAAGGAGACATATGTTGGTATAATTGTTCTTTAAAAGATGGGACTAGTAAAAAAAGAGTTATTTTTGTTGTTATTTATTCAAGGAAGGTGATATATACCAAAGAGATACTGGAGGAAGAGAAGAATTCAGGGTATACTATAATGGTTCTCTCAGAAAGAGCCTGGACCTAGTAAATGTTAAGATTCCTCTTAAAGCTAAAGGTAAGATACGAAAAACATAATTAGAGGACTGCCCAAGAGATGGGGACAGTTATAATAGGTGAAAACAGTAAGTTCAGATAGATTTGAAAAGGGAAAAGGGAGATGAACAATAGGGTTTTTCATGCATTAAGCAGTTTGTAAGTGATATGGATGGGAAGACAGGAATGTTACATAATGCAGTGGAACATATCTGGGAAGTTTGTGGAAATAAGACTCTAAGGGAAAGTACCAGGTCACATTAAAGGGAAGCCAAATGAATCAAGACATCATGCAGGCCTAAGTGAGATGCTGGACTTCCCTACAATTGGAATAACTTTACTGAGGGTGGTGAGGGCTGTCAGTATCTGAATCAATCATGAACACACAAACCTCTTGATTTCCACTATGACAAAGTCTTAAGAAAGGCAC